TCCTGCTGACAGTGTGGGCATGATATTGTGCAGGAAATCAGCCCATTACCTGGCATTTTAAATCATGGATAGAGAAGCACTGAATCCCACATTCATAAAGCAGACAATTTTTTTTGAAGAATTGAATAATAAACTTCTCTGTCTATATTTAGCATTGTTTATATGATTAAGTTGGAATTGCTCTGTGATACCAGATTTTTGAAGAATTGAATAATAAACTTCTCTATATTTAGCATTGTTTGTATGATTACGTTGGAATTGCTCTGTGATACCAGGCCTTGTTGCAGATAAGTGAAGCATATAGTAGTAGCTTAAGTAAAAAGGAAGAAATGATTTCATTTACTTCAAAGCTTTATAATTGACAGAGGAACTGCTAGGGATTGTAGCCTACTACATATTAGACTGCCAGATTCAGTGCTGAGGGAGGCTGCCACCCAACTCTGCTATCTCATGTAGTATAGATGAGGTTTTGCAACTCTGAAACACTGCCTGCTAGTAAACTAAATTCAAAGCTTTGCTCTAATAAATAAATAAGAAGTCAAGAAAACATTTAGTTCTGAGGGACCTCAGCAACCTCATGCTGAATAAAAAAAGAAACTAGTTCAGATATCTCAGTTGGAGAGCTTTTCTTCCTGAAGCAGTTGTCGCCATGCATATTAATATGCAGCAAATGTTTTTAATTATTTTATTTACTTTACTGCATTTATATTCTGCCATCTAGGGGTGGAGGCTAAAAACAATAAATTATACAATTTAAAAAAGAATAACACAAACAATATCCAGATAGTTCAGAAATTGAATAAAAAATAAGTAAAATGAGCTAGTTATAACCAGGGATGTTGGCAAGTCTTGAGATCCGAGTCCCAAATCTGAGTCTTGGGGCCCAAGTCCGACTTCGAGTCTTCAGGTCTGAGTCTCTTGAGTCTGAGTCTCAAGTCGTTCCCCCCACCCTGGCTTGGTACTCAGGAGTTGAACCCAATGACTCAGACTGTGCATGTGCTGCTCAGCTGCTCAGCGAGTGCGTGTGCAGAGACAGTGGGCCAGCTACCACTGCCACCCACCCCTGTCACCCACTCTGCCATTGGCCTACATGCTGCCCCCACAGCCACCTTCAAAGGCAGCAGGCCCGGCATCCCTTCTAGGGATCCATTTTGACCCTCCCTCAAAAGGTCATCTTGCAGGGTGACCAATGCCGTCTCTGTGCCGTGACGCAGCCTGAACCTGGACTGGACCGGATCAAGGGCATTGGTTTCCTCCAGGAGTGTCTGTAGCTGATTGGCCACCACTCTCTCCACAACAACTCACGAGTTCTTGTCCCTGGTTATAAAATCATTAAATTACAACCCAAAGCAATAGAAAAGACAAATCAACTGTATTGATTTAGTACTAATAAATGGAAATAAAAAAAGTCATCCATCAGCCTCACCTTCCAGCAAATAGCTCATTAGCATTTTTTTATAGATGAGTTTCTGTGTGTGCTACATTGTTATTGGGACTTGAATGTTGTACTCATCCACTTTAGGGCAAGCATAGGTCTGTTTGGGCCCAGAGTCTTCATCCCTGCATCTATTTCCCCCAAAACACAATCAGAGTTTAGAAGTCTCTACCTGATTTGAGAAGTCTCTACCTGCTCTATGGATGTACTACAGTCCCTTTACTAAATCTTGGTATTTATGCTTTTTTTAAAAAAAAGCACTAATGAGTAATAGGTTTGCCCTTTTATATTTAATATTATTTATTGCCATTCACTCAGTCTGGACAGTTCTTTCTGGGAATTTTGGTCAATTTTGTCTTTCGCCATTCTCAACATCTTGTCTGCTTGCTTTAGCCCCGTTCTGGTACTGCAGAATCTTCATTTGTCATTTGTTAACTAAATTCTACCACCATATTGGACCCGGAATATTGGGTGCTGTCTCTGAAACACTATTTATTTCTCCCTGAAATGTTTCTTTGTTTTACAAGGACCAATGCAAAGATTTAAGCAGATCTTTCTGTAATCTCACTTTCCCCTTTCAAAAAGTGGTGTATTAAAAACATGTAATTCGTATAGTGCCTGTGGAGACTGGTCCTCTGTTTTCATTGGTTATATGTCCTGCTGCAGATCTTAAAAATTAGAAACAAAGTAGAAGAAGAAGCGGGTATCAGTTTCTTTCTCTTGAGAATGTAGAGCTTCATGTCAATGATGTGTTTAATAATATTTGAGGTAGAAATTTCTCAGGAGAATTATAATTTTACTTCATTTGAATAAGCTTAACGGTTCTGTGATATATGAACAAAAATGATGGTAGAAAAAAAATGAGGGAACATTAACTAGGTGTAATGGGCTGAATAACTTTCATTTAAAAGTAGAAAGTTGTATATAAAATGTTTGGTTCAATGTCTAAATTAAAACAAGGAGCTTTTTGGGATGAGAAGTCCACTTTACTGCTTCAAAGACAGTCAACAAGGAATAGGAAAAGCTGTCCATTTTGTTTTCTTTGCACATTTTGAAATCCCATGAACTTTCTCATTCTATTCAGTTTTCAGATCAGATTGCAAGGCTTTTTCTTCTTTCTTCCATTTTGAAAATCTGTGGATGTTTTGGTGTTAGATTTCTATAATGTATACATTTTATGGATTTTTTTTTAAAAAAATAAATTTTGTTTGTGCATCTCTTTCATATATAAGTGTATCATCTAATCATGCTTTTGTACTTGAATATAGTCCAGCAACTAATAAACACAGGTGTCTCCTTCTGCTCTTAAAGTACACATTAGCTATTCTGACTACCAGTCTTTTATGGTATGATTTCTTTCTTCCACTGGCCATGCTTCCACTGCTTTTCCCTTACAGATGCTTCTTGGTTTGAGAAACCATTAGGGATGTAACTCATTTCGTGGTTTCTACACACATATGAGGAGAAGGAACTGGTGGTAAATTTCTTGGTACTGTCAGGAGAGTTCTTGCATCAGCGAGAATGAAATTTTGCACAAAATTGTCTTCCCTTTTTTGGCACAGATTGCCCAAACTATGCTGATAGTTGTTTTTTCCAAGTATTTGAAACAGTGGATGGGTTATATGCCTCTTTGGTAACAATTTTCCAGTCCTTCTCTCCAGTTATGTCAAGTATTGCTCCTTTCAAGTCGAAGGCAGGAAACAGTGAAGAATCAGAAAGTCTTAGTACAAAGAGCAGAAAGTACAGAATCCTGTCTTTGCTATTTATTTCCGCAGAGGATCGTACCCTTCTCCTATGTTATGATTGCAGTAAAATAAATTATGGGTTTTCAAAAAACATATTAGTTATTCTGTAGTGGTTTAACTTGAATAGACATTCAGAGTTCTGTTGATTATTTACTTATCTTTTAAAAATAATTTTACTACACCTTTCTCCTATAAAAGGAACCAAGCTGGCTTACCTCATTGAAAAAAGGAAGACTGAAAGCTGAAAGCAATTAGATAAATGCATTTTAAAAACAGATTTAAAAGCAACAAAAGTACAAACCTCAAAAAACATGAAAAAATTTCATTTTTAAATAAATTCCTCTCAGACAGCCATGCACCAAGGGAAGGCCTGCCTGCCTGAAGAAAAATGACTTTGCCTACTTGCAGAGAGATAGCAAATACAGGGCCAGCCTGGTCTCCTAAGGGAGGATGATCCAAAGTCAGGGGGCAGTGAATACAGGGCCAGCCTGGTCTCCTAAGGGAGGGAGATCCAAAGTCTGGGAGCAGTGACAGAGGAGACCATCTCCTGGGGTTTCATGAAATGCACCTGTGAAAGAGGTTGGACTGAGAGAAATGCCTCTGATGATGATCTTAACACTTGGGCAGGTTCATAAAGGAAAATACAGTGGCGCCCCACATAGTGACGTTAATCCGTTCTGGATTAAGCGTCGCTATCCGGAAACATTGCTAGACGGATAGAAAAACCCCATAGGAACGCATTAAACTCCGTTTAATGCGTTCCTATGGGGCGAAAACTCACCGTTGAGCGAAGATCCTCCATAGCACTGCCATTTTCGCCACCTCGGTAAGCGAGGGCAGCACGCGAAAATGCTTGCGGCAGCCATTTTGGTTACCTGGCAGCCATTTTGGAACCGCCGATCAGCTGTTCTAAAAACATCACAGTGCGAAGATTGGTAAGCGAAACGCTTACCAATCATCGCAATGCAATGTCTTCCCTATCTAAACATCGCAAAAATAAATCGCTATGCGGATTCATCGTTAAATGGTGCGCTCGTTATGCAAGGCACCACTGTACAGTATTTGAGATAGTTTGAACCCAAGCTGTTCAGGGCTTCATGGGTTAGAACCAGCACTTTGAATTGTACTCAGAAATGGACTAGCAGCCAGTGGAGCTGTTGCAATAGTGGGGTTATGTGATCTCTGTAACCAGCCCTAGTTAACAACTTAGCTGTAGTGTTCTAGACCCGCTGAGGTTTCTGAACACTTTCCAAAGGCAGCCTCACACAGAGGTCATTACAGTAACCCAGCTGGGATGTGTCACCATGGCAAGATCAGACGTCTCCAAGACCTGGCACACTAGTTTTTAACATGCAAAAGTATTCTGGCCTCCATTGAAGCCTATGCATCCAAGCTGAAACTTAATCCAGACAAGACAATCCAAACGCAGGTCAGGGAAAATGGATCCAACTTGTAATGGTTAGGTACATGCCTTCCAAAAACCACAGGTGTGCAGCTTGAGTATCCTCCTAAATCCATCTCTAAGCTTTGATGCCCAGGTTTCAGTGGTTTTGTATGTGCATCCAATGAATAATTTGGGCTGGATGCGGGAGTCTGTTGGAATATATTGTTGGTATAGATCTGACCTGCATCTCACAGAGGAAATGCATTACCTCCTAAGATAACACTGAAGTGGATTCAGGTCCTATACATATGTCCCACACATCCCTCACCATACATGTAATAAAAATTAAGTACTATTTGGTTGTGATCTGCAAAACATTCTGGACTTCTACTGAGTTTTTTTTCCTCCTATGCATTCAACAGGTACATCTTGTTCTTCTACGTGTCCATAAAGAATCAAGAAGAATCATGATTGAGCAAGTCTGTGAATGGCTACCAGCTTTCCTCTCAGCAGTGTTTTACCAAGTCTTCAAGTGGTAGGTTACAGTTTGTCATCATGGAGCTTTTTCCTGTGGCTATCTTGAAGGTTGGCATTTAACCTTTTGATGTAATTTTTATTTTTTTAAATTTTTTTTACAAAAGTAAACAGCCAAAAAACACATTTACAATACTTAACCTTTTGATGTAATTTTTATTTTTTTTAAAAAAAATTTACAAAAGAAAACAGTCTAAAAACACATTTACAATGCACAACATGAATAATGGTTGTTGTGGATTTTTCAGGCTTTTTGGCCGTGTTCTGAAGGTTGTTCTCCCTGACATTTCGCTAGTCTCTGTGGCCGGCATCTTCATGGGAATGGAGTAGGAACTCTGTCCATGCTCTGTTGCTGTTTGTTGGATAGTATTTATAGCTGTGGGAACGGCTTTTGTCTTTTTTTCACCATTCTGGAAAATACAACCTGCAAAAGGTCAGCGAACTCTTACCCAGTCAGAAGGGCCAGAGATCATTGCACAAAAAAGACCAGCTAATGACACCCATCAATCACAGTGACAGATAATCTCTCCCTCTTCCCCCTCCCTCATCAAAACAAAAACATGCTGATCACCCTATCTCCTGATGGTGGTGGTGGGGACTTAAATCTGAATTGCAGCCATAATTTTATTTTGTTTTAATATGTTTTTGTGGTCTGCTACAGTAGCAAAAATAAGGGAGTTGGCAGCCTGGTCAACATTTTATATCCTTGATAATGCTCCAGACCTTTGGGGCATCATTCTAGAGTTTGTGAAAGAGAAATGCCAACTATCACGAAGCCAAAGTGGTGAAGGTTATTTTGAGAAAGCTATGCCAAGTGGTCTTTATCTGGGAAGGGAGAAAGTGCCAGAAATTTTCTCAAAGAAAAAAGTATATCCCGAGGAATATTGACTTAGCTGTTAGAAGCTACCAATACAACAGTGAGAACTGTCTCCTCTTTGCTTTCTTGCTGGCTCTCTTATTCATAGGAACCAGGATTTAAAAGCAATCTGGGGCGATTTAGTGTATTGGACTCTGCGTCTCCTAAATCCATATTTCTGGAACAGATTACGGAGCCTGTGTGGCTGATGTTGTTGTTCTTGTGCACCTGAACAATTTTGATCTGCAGGATCACATCCTTGGCCAAGTTCTGCAAAAGAATGAATCAAAATGAGACAGGTTCACCCTTTTCATTTGCAATTGTTTGCTTTGTCACCGAAGAGAGTAAATGTAATATTGGTTTTCATTAGGTATTAAGTTAAAGTCAATATGCAACGGTATCCCCTCAATATCTAGTTGCAAAGGAAATTTCTTCTTCATCCTTGAAGTTGCTAAAAACTGTTCTAGAGTGTCTTGACATCTCTTCAGAGCAGATTTATATGGTGCATGGGAAACAATGGGAGGGAGTACTAATTCTGATTAAGGCTTGCCTGCAGCAATAACACTTGGAAAATCAGTAAAAACATATTGCATATTATTAGGTTCAAATGCTTCACATGTGTGACTTCAGTTTTCCTTGATTTATTAGGCTTCTTAGTATTACCGTGGTGCCTTGACCCACAAACATCCCAACATACCACCATTTCAAGTTGCTACCAGCTCCGGCCACAAAATTTTGCTTCGACTTGCGGCTGGAGCTTGAAGTTGCAACTGGAAAAAGGCAGGGAAAAAGGCAGGGAATTCAAATTTGCTAACTGTTGGTAGGTGAAGAGGCTACTTCTTTGTAGCTCTTTTTCTCCAACAATTAGAGTGAGTGCGTCGGAGGAGGCTTCCGACTGCCTGGAGCTGCTTTCTGCTCCTGAGTAAGCACATTTACTTTGTTTTGCAGGGTGGGTTTGAGCGGGGGTTTATGTTTTTGTGCTGTGATTTTTTTGTGTGTTTTGGTGTTTTTTCCCCAGCCCCATCTGATGGGATTGGCTGTGTATGGGGTGTGTGTGTTTTTGCAACAGAAGTAATGTACAGAACTTTCTTCAGACTCAAATCTCCAGTCCATGAAGGTCTGTGATTGTGCCAAATGCATGGGGGTATTCAAAAGCAAGTCCGTGTCCTCAAAACCCATTTAGCCCATCACGCATTTAAATGTGTAGTATGCCTGAATTAATTTTTTATTTACTATGTACATAACAGACTTACAAAGTAACTGTTTTAGCAGTATATATTAATGCACAGGGTCAAAATGTACCATGCCTAACAAACTGAAGTTGAAGAACATATGCTGCTTTGGTCAGTTTGTTTTAATCTCAAAATTTCTCTGTGCTTTCAAAAAAATTTAACCATGCAGTATATCCTAGTTACTCGGAACCAACTATGTGTTTCTAGATTTGAAGAATCTAGCAAAAATCTTCAAAATAACAAGAAGCACTTGTTATAGTTCAAGTTTTTAAAAGATATCTTAGGATTTTAGATATGTATGCTATTTATTTGTAAAAATCACATGGTCATGCTTATTAGTCACATGTAAAAAATAATACATTGTCTCTGTACATTTTCATCCCTTGGATTGATAACAACGACAGTCCCTCGTCCTTTTAAAATATTAAGTAGACTAAATACATTTCACAACTACATCAGGAATCCAGCAACAACTTCAACAATATGCAACACAGGCATACTTCTTTAAAGAAAATAAAGCCTACCTCAGCTGAAAACTAGAGGGGGAGTTAGTTGTATAGACAAAATAATTACACAAATGGGAATTCATCAAGGATACCCATGCAACCATTAGTGATGCTGAAAAGTATCCTGAGATTTAATTAGCACAAATGTTTTAAAAAGGGGGAGGAAGAGAATGCCTCCTTTAAAAGGGCCTTTCCACATATTATGAGAATGTCGTTAAGGGTAAATAGTTGCAACAACAAATGCTAGGCAGATTAGAAATTCAGAGGATTATCCAGTTGATATAAATCCAATGGGTCTTGCATGGTTTGTTTGCTTTCTGCTTTGCTTTTTTTTCTTTTTGCCATTTCCGAAGGGTCTTGCATGGTTTGTTTGCTTTTTGCTTTGTGTTTTTTGTATTTCTGAAGGGTCTTGCACAGTTGTTTGCTTCCCCCCCCTTCGGCTGGAACACATTAATCGCATTTCTGATGGGTCTTGCAGTGGGTTTTTTGTGTGTGTGTGATTTTTTTTTCTTTGATCGGAACAGATTAATGGCATTTCAGTGCATTTCAATGGGAAATGGTACTTCAACTTACGACCATTTCAAGCTACGACCGTAGTTCCGGAACCAATTAAGTTCATAAGTCGAGGCGCCACTGTATTTTAAATCTGTTGCAATATATGCTATCTTCTATTGATAGATAATGTTAATTGAATATGGCAATATAATTTTACCAGTATGGGCAAAATTGCTTGCATCAGCTTTTAAGTTTTTTTCTTTCATTTAATGATGTATTAAGATAAAAAAATCTGTCCTTAACTTCACTGCTATTTCAAACACATCACATTTTTATAGCAAAAAAAAAAATGTTACAGTGGTTTTTATTTGGATTTAGATTCTTCTGTTGCTGGAGAATGGAATTTTTTTCCTGGTTTCCCCTCGCCCTGTAGCCCTTGTAGTCCCCAGTGCTACTTCCCTCATTATTCTAGAGAAGAACTATCTGAAGCAGTAGGTTGTTGCAGGTTGTTGCACTGGGAATTACAAAGAGGAAAGGGGAATTTGACAAGGTGTCCCCTGTGACTCTTCCTCTTTGATTAGGCTTTGCAGTGATCCAGTTGCTTTCATGATCAGAAGGAACCCTCCCTTTGTGGAGGAGCAAATCTGAATACAAACCAGTGTGATCCTAAGAGCTTCGGTTGCCCTTCTATTAACACATGGGAATTCATTTCTCATTAGAATGAGAATGCTGTGGTTAGGGATTCAAATGCATTTTAGTATTGCATAAATACTTTCTCTGTCAAAAGGAGGTCAGCTTTGATTGCCAAGCTGCCCATCATATGTGGTTTTGTTGGTATATGCCAACAATCTGAGGTATTTTAAATGAGTTTGCTGTTCTTGAACGTTTTGAGTTCCTATCAGTCAAAAGGGAGGAAGCATGTAAGAATACTTTATTAAGTCAGTTCTAAAGGTCATTCTTTAAAGGTCTCATAAGGAAAGTGTTTCCCACTGGGAAAAAAAAACCCAACCCAGATCTCTACTGGTCGGATCTGCAATACAGCTCGACAGTGTGGAATATCTGTCAGTTGTGCTCTCTTTCTGGTATGCCACATCCCTCCTGGTTTATCCACTTCACTTTTTATGTTGCCAACCAGCATTCTGCAGCTGCTGAGCATGCTTAATCATTGTGGATTTCAGGGTTCTACCGTACCAGATTACTTAATACAGTAATTTTAAACAACTGTAAGCTTTTATATTTTTCCTGAATCTATTTTGCCTTCCTCTGATTCATAAAGAGGGGGTATCATTTTGGCTATATAATGATCTGAAGAACTGAGTTCAGTGTTTCTATATAGATTGTTGATACCTTGTTTTTCATTGGTTTATTGAAGACACTGTAAAGCTTCTGCATGTGGTATGAGAAACAGAAATCAAATTATCTACCTGTAGGCCATTATCTGAGTGATCCTACCATGAGAATCAGCCACTATTCTTTAGTGCATTGCGAAAGGGTTCTTGTGAAGTCTTAGGCAGTCCCAAATGTGGCACAGAAGTTGAAACGGAAGACTCATTTAAACCATTAACAGATTTATTCATATTTAACAAGGGGATGTCAGTGACTACCTCAGTAGGAGAAACTTGATCCCATTCACATAACTGTTTTCCAACTTCACAGAACTATTATAACAAACATTTCCTCTTAATACTGGGGAGCCGGGCCAAAGCATTCCTTGTTTGTTCCTCACCGCGCAAATGGTGCCACAGCATGGGTGGTGAGCCCAATCCCCCTCCGGCGGTGGCTTGTTGTAGGTGGGGGCTGGGTGCACCACCCTCTTTGAGTGACCGCGTCCCCTTGGAAAGACCACCACTGTCCATTCTGCATTCTGAAGTTTCGGTGATGGTCACCCCCTCTCTTTCGGGTATCAGGTCTG